TCCTCCAGCCACGAGCACCCACGGATGGGGCCGGCAGCGCCTCGCCCTCCCAGGACAGGACCCAGCTGCTCTTTGCTGCAGCCAAAAGGAATAAAGGAGCAGGGCAAAGAGCTTCGGGCTTCCACTCGCAAACACCACGAGCCAGCCCTGCAAACAGAGCGGAGGACGAGGAGGAGGAATTCTTTATATGACTGAAAACAAACGTGCCAGATGGACTCATCATTTCCAAACGACAGCAGAGCACTTCTGTGTGTATTGTGCCTCCTCGTGCTGTGACCGCTGATGCTCAGCTTACCTCTGTAGCTGTGACAGCATTTCAGTAGTGGGTTCACCAAGGTAGATGCTTACTTTCCATGGAGCGATGCTAAGGAGGCTGCAGGCAAGGCAGGAAAAATAACGCTGTATTTACAGAAGGGTTTATTTTTTTTAATGCAGAATAGATCGGAGGATTATTGTGCAACGAATAGGAATAAGCCATCTGACTCCTAGAGCTGTTCTAAGATGCTAAAAAATAGCCAGTGCCATCTTCAGATGGGGTTAGAAGGTGCAGCTTGCCTAAGCTGCCCAAGCAGCTGGATGCCCCCAGCCATGGGGACTCATCATCCCTTGCTGGGACGTATTGGAACAAGGTCACAGTGGCTATGCCGATTTTCCTGTGTTCCTTCTTGCTTCCTCTGGTTACTTAAAAGCTATCAATGTTGTCAATTTTATGCAAGATGAGAAACACAAGAATGTTCTTTTAAAATATTTCTGAAGAAAACAACTTCTAGAGAGACCTTTTCCCCCAAATTAGCACAGTACACGCAAAAAGCAAACGCTCGCAGAGAGTAGTCTGAGCTATGTTTATGCTCCAGCAAGACCTGCTGTTGCCTATTCATATGACACTTAACAAAATAAACCCAGCAACAGCCCAGGCTTTGTTAGACCAGTGTGCAGTTATCAGTAGGCAATCCTAATTGGGTTTTAATTAACAGAAGACAAGAGAAGTTAAGAGTCTTGGAGGGAACTGCTGAATGCTGGAGAGTAAAAAGGACGGGAGAAATGAGGTAATGTTTCGGCAGCAGATGCTGAAATAACTCCCATCTTGATCAGCAGTTCTCTCTTCTCAGGTAGGATTAAGTAAATCTCATAATTAAAGAGATGGGAAGGGCATGACGGAGGAATGAA